AAACAGTGCCCTAAGACATATCCATAATTCTAAGAAGTTTAATATGTATGACTAATAAAACCATGAGCGTGAAATTACATTACTTTAAATGATTCAGTCCAGATACAAATAAGGTTACAGAATGATACACGAAGTAAAGTTGTCTGGTCCTGATTGTGTCTTGTTCTTTTTTTATTGAGCATCATAACATTACTATCAGTAAAAGATATTCTAGTAGTAATCAACACCAAATATTTTGCGACATAGCTTGAAGAATACTGTGACAATACAGCTTGATTCGTTGAGTCTATCATTTTGTAGTTGACTTATCGTGGTTCTTCAACTGAAGAATCAATTGCCTGGTTTCTCGATCAATGTGTTCTACAAATTCAGCTGCACCAGAGAAGAAAGCTATATCTGACGTATAATCAGATAACTAAGCTAACGAGTTAGTTAGGGCCTTCTTAGAAACCTAATTAACGCAAACACTGTAACCAAAACTGATATCGAACTTCATTTATAAAAACCATGTGTTTTAGTGGATTCTGGTTAGACAGTAATCTATTTCAGTTTAGAAAACTGTTTTAAATCATATTTTTGAAATATAGGCTAGTAGCCCAATAATGAACAAGTAAGTTGCTGAAACGAAATAGTTGTTTTAATGCTCCATAGCTTTCAATAGTTCTTAATCAAAACCTCATTTTTGTCTACTTTTTCTCTTATTCTATACACAATTGAAGTTTAACGGGCTTCGAAACAATTTATTGAAGATTACCGACTAATTGCATAATATAAGTTTGATTTCATCTCCTCTAACTTACCAGCATTAACTTAAAAACGAAGATAATAGAACATAAGGTTTTTCAGTAAACTGTTCATAACTTAATTGTTATGAATCAAATATTAAGCTTTTATAAACAAAGATGGATAGTGGCTAGCAGTGGAATTCAGGACGCGCGTTTCGTCCTATTTAGGACATACGCACAGTATGCACATATGTCAATAACAGACTGATCAATTGTAGTCTTAAACCTCAATGAGAAGATACAAGCAAAAATACCAAGTGAATTTAAATATTAAGCTTAATTTGATAATAATCGTGTTGACCAATGAAAATTATTTGAAAGTATTCCAGGATTAAAATTTTAAAAAATCATCGCTGTAAAAGCACATCGTAACCTTACAATGAAGCTTTTAGTTTCCGTCTACTTCTGCATAAAAATGTGATCAGATTAATTAGAGACAAGTAATAATCGAAAAGGTTATGCGATAGCATAATTAAATCGATTAATCATTTTAATGGCAATATATGCATGTCTAACCATAAGCATGCATAATTATCTTCACTACACAAACTGGAAAAATACAGAAACGGATTCATATACCCATATTTTTCAGTGTTTTGATATCGAGCTACATATTATACCCTCAGCTCCCATCTTAAAATTACTAAATAACTTAAAGATTTAATTTCACTTTTTCATTGTTTGCCGTTGTTGTGAATTGGCAGTTCATAGTGGGTATGCACAATCGTTGGTTTTAAAGTCTTATTTAATAAAGAAGTTTCATTCCATTTGACACTCGAAAATAACAGATCTTTTTATTTCAGAAATTGATAGTTATATAATTTAACGTTTATTTTATTGAACCGATTTTATAATTTAACTATTAATAGTGTAATTTTAGTTTCTTTACAGAAATATTACAATAATCTTTTGGAAAATTTCATTTCATTTATGAATTTTTAAATATGAATATATCTGATTGATTCACTCTTTATTTCGTTCTGTTTATTCAACATTAAACTGAAGTGATAAGGAAATGAAGATATGCTCACTTTTCTCAATTTATATAACAAAAATGATAACTAGGAACTAAAAATTCCAATAACAGTTATATAATTATTTATATTATTCAATGATCGTTACCCAGGAACTTTTACTGTGGTATTTTCAAACTGAGAAACATAACTAGATTCAAAACCAGCACCTTTTAAATTATTGACTGAAAATAGTTAAAAAATAATTGAAAACTGGGTAGAAGTGTAAGCTTATTTTGTCCTACTGTTAAACACCCCAGTAGTGTGCAACAACATTTGGAACTGAACCCAAGACGAATCTAATTTGCATTGGTCGTCGAAATCCACCCACCTAAACCGTTTAGCTATCTTTACCAGCATTATGACTCCTTTTCATGATCATGAAGAAGTAAAAACGTTTTCTTTTTTAAGTAAAAATCTCGGGTTAAACCCATGAAACTGAAATTCTATACATACTATATTCTATGTTTGGCTTCATTAAGTGAGATTGAAACATTATCTTTTTTGTCATTTGAAATATAACTGAGAGTACATTTAATAACGTTTATGTTTAACATCAACTAGTGTCAAGTCATTCATAATTAGTTCGGTATACGAATATTGAGCATTCTCTAAATATCATCAAAAATTTTAATTTCCCTATGTATACTTTATTCATCTTTCGGTTATTAATCGTTAGTTTCAATGCAACTAATCAACTTGGTACCAGTTGATACGCTTAACTTTTCACTGTACACTCTACATAAGGGTTTATGATATAATTTGTTTATTCTAACCAAAGTAGATGACGTGAGATATGAATCCATTATTCAATGGCTGTTGAAAATCAAATGTCACAGATTGAAATCATGAGTCAGTTGAAGCTAGACCACCATGTAAAACCTGGAAGCACTGGACGGCCTTTTCGTCCTAGTATGGGGCTCCTCAGCAGTGCGCATCCACGATCCCGCACCCCACGCAGGAGCACTTAACCATTAGACCACTGAGCCGGCATCCAACGGTGTTAATGTCTAACTTCAACTTCAATCTGTTAACTTTCTAAAATCTCCACAAACCCCTTCTAATGTAAATCAAATGATCTAACCATTCACTAACAGCTTCATCCATATATATTACCTACTTCATTATCGGACAGGTTTCATGAGAAATAGGATATTTTCGGCATTTCTTTGGCTAATTCATATTCATTAATTTGAGGTATTTATTGAATGATGGATCACAGTTACCACCATATACATAAGCTTTCATAGAAACTGTCAAAACAGAAACTGTGGCAAATTTTTAAAGAATATTTTATGAATTGATAAAGTTCAACCTAAAAGTCTGTCAGTTGTATGAATATTTGTCTAATTTTTTTTTCGAAATTATCTGTTTTCTATTTTTGGATAACGGCATGTGATGGTTTGCTAATAATTATATTTTCTGGTTATTTAAGTTGGATGCATAACATAGTACAATATTTGTCATAGTATCACATGAGTATTTATTGAGATCATTTGAGTGATCGGATTTAACTTTTTATATTATTTTACAAGTCATCTTTAATCTGAAGTTATCAGAAGATCATAAAAGATTATAGCTCAGTGTAAAAAAACCTAGTTGATATTAATATAAATTTTCTTATGAAAGCTCCAAGATACTATTGATTATCAACAGAAATACAAAAAGCCATACATTAATAATATTTACGTTTATAGGATTTTAAAACAATTCGATAGACATTGATGGCAACTCTTCTACAACCAATTTCGATTATGGTTAATTTTGGTTAATACCTTTTACCGACTTACTTAACGGACAATGATATTTGAACAGTAACAATTCGTATATCTCTTTGTACGTTATGATCACTAGATCACACGATAAATTCTGGATAATATAACGATCGCTTAAATATCACTCGATAATTCATTCTCCTTCCTATGTATATGTGTACTCAAATCCTATTATTAGCTTTTGCTTTGCATTGCTGCGCCTTTATACAATTTGACTATAAATTTGCCTATGTAATTGCTCACATATACATATTTGTCTCTCTGTCTGCTTCAAATTCGCTTGATGCGCTTATAACTTTGTGATCTTCGCTATCCGTAAATAAAACTGTAGTTGCTGTTTCTCATTACCTTCTGATTTAAAACACCGTTGAAATTTATATAACAAAGGTTACAAGTGTGATTGATTAACGAAACAAAGCATTAAAAAAGGATCGATAATTGCAACATTATAAGGGTAAATTGACTATACCATATATTTCACTATTTCAAAAATAAAAAAACGCGAAAACATCCCTCCTGTTTCAACCTTATTGTAATTTAAATTCACTTGGTGTAGTTTTACTTGTACCTTCCGATTGTTATTTAGGACTGCGATTGATTGTGCTTTTCACAAACGCTGTATCTTTTTAACCGAGTGAAATCTACCTTGATTTTGTTCTTGTTCAAACCGTATATATTACAGAATTCACACCAGTTTACAGGGAGGACCAACTTGATATAAATAGTAACATTAGATGTACAGAATAAACATGGGATAGAAGAAAGTTTTAAGTATACTAGTTCAGTAATTGTTTAGGTGGTACATGTATTACAGCGATCCAATGCATCAACCGGGAACTTTTGATATTTCTTAAATTTACAGCCTGTTGATTTATGAACGGATTAATTAAGGCCATTTCGTTTGCCAAATCGAATTAATGATAATTATTTACAACTAGAGAAATTAAAACGAAAACAGAGAGCACGGAACAACAAAGCAGTAATTACCAAAATATATCGTTCAGGTCTACCAAAATGCGTGTGTCATGTGACACAGTGATATACTGTTGATGTTAGATATTATTCAAATTATTTAAAGTTGCTAGGGTCGGTGTTAACATAAAGTGATAGCAAGTAGGTTGTTTTACTTAGGAAATGCACTAATAAAAATGGCTAAACATTTAAAGTTCCTGTAATATCACTTGTGGGATGAGATACACTTACAGGTGCGAGAATATTCAATGCATTTTCAGAGGAGCAGTATGCATCGATGCAGCGAACAAATAATGGGAGTGATTTTATCGTACGGATAGATTGTGGTAGGTCATTCCAGAGTCTAGAAAATTTACAGGTAAAGTAATTCATATAAAGAGATGATTTAGAATAAGTTTGTTTCACTAGTGCCAAGGAATTACGAATGTCATAATGAGAAGTTTCGGCATATTGAATCACGTAAATAAATTATAAAAATTATCTGATGGCCATTGACTAAACAACTGGAGTTCAGTTTTTGCACCAATTAGTGATAGACCATCACGAAGCCATGCAGCTTGTTTGACAAAACAACGATGACTACTACCACCACGCAAGGCAGTAATTGAAGAATATCGCCAACAAGATTCTTGTTGTTGTGTTGGCATTGATTTCTTTTCAATTGATATAAGAGGTGATAATGATAACGATGACGAAGAGTTGAAGTCAGCTATGACTATACGAGTACAAGCGATAGGTTTCCAATCTACATACACTTCACCAATTGTAGTCATTAATGTTGGCTGACATGCATGCCCACCTCGTAGTTTATTACGACTTAATGAAAGATTTAGACAGACCGGTGCGAAAATAAATATTTCTGAATCAATAATGATTGATAGTAAATGTCCGCCGTCGTCTGCATTAACTCAATCCCATCGAATGGATAATAACTAATGATTGATTGAGAAGAGAAAAATTTTAAAATCAAACAATCATACGTAAAACCGTAGAATCCAAAGATCAGTGGACTAGAGGTTAAACGTTCACGCATGAAACCGAAAGTCCTTAGCTCGATCCCTGTGTGCAGAGTTGCCAACGCGCAACGACGCTGAGGCGTCCCAAACTAGCATGAAATGACTGTACAGTGCTTCCAGGTTTTCAATGGTAGTCTAACATTGGTCGCTTTATGATCTCAATGAAATTCTACATGAACTAAGGAAACAAGGCCTGTTCTGTAAAACAAATGGCAGAGCTATACCGACCTATAAAATATTGAGATCCATACCTATTAAGCCAATTAATATATGATAAATATTTACGAATTACGCATTACGCTACAACCAGGCATGGTAGTTAATGTTAGTACGACATAACAAACCTTAGCCCTAACTCTTAATCTTAATTCCCAACACTATTTCCTAACTCTTTTTTAATGAGTGCGTTGTAACTTTAAAGCTGTTTGAACGTTCACCATTGGAGTGGCAATATAGCTAAGTTTTACCGCAAACGAATTAGTGTTTGTGTAAAACAAAAGTTTATGATACTTATTTTAAATCTGCGTGCAAAAAGCTGGCAAATTAGAAGGATAGAGATGTAGGTATTATATTGTGTTCAGTTAAATGCATACATATATACTAAAGAAACTTGATATAACGGTTTAGTTAAAATACTTTTCTTCCCGCGGTATACCACGACACCAGGATTATACATTAAAGAGATTGGAACGGATGATCTATTTCAGAATGCCACTACACACCACTGCATACTCGAACGATCCATAATGCACAGACCAGATCATCTTATAACAGATACCCCCGTTCACAAACAAGAATAAATAACCAGAGTAACACTTGACAATACTTTATTCTACACAATTATAGGTAGTTACACACAGTGAGTCTGGAGTAGAAAATCAACGGAAGGGAAGAAAATCACATATTGAATTGTTAGTAAGCTGATTGACTGTTTGTTCATACTTAATGACTGGTCACATTTACTTTCACAACCACACATCAAACTCACTTCATACTGGAGGGTTTCGCTAAGAACAGCTCAAGTTATCGATTGTTTTTGTTATCACATATCAGTTGGTTATTTAAAGGATAGTTGCGATGACAGTTTTCTATGATGACATTTGCAGCTATTTCATCAGTTGTAACAATTTTCAGTTTGCTAAAATCGTTGTGTGCTGAAGTCTTCCAGTGGTAATGTATGGAACAAAGTTAATCTATTTCCATTTTTTCTTCCTTTCGGGATTATAAAGCTATCCTGAAAGTCCCGACCTCTATTTCATATAGATATGTAGAATAATAACGATGAGTTGTTGGTGAATTTCAGTTGCCGCTATATCGAGGACTCCATAAAATACCTTCGTATAAGAATAAGCTCAGTTGGTTTATAATTATCAAGTAGTGTAGGCCCAAACTGAATTTAATATCAACATAAAAAAAATCCAGAGTAATCTTCATATTTCTATTGAGACTTATTACTGGGTACAAAATACGAAGTAAATACAAACGGTACCTTTAATAAACAAAATATGATTCAGTTTTATCGGGATTCATGGACAGTAAAAGACATCGGCAGATAAACCTTAGCTATTTTAATGAGGAAATAGATCTGATCTACTGATTCACCTGATCTTGTACAGCAAGTTATATGGAATGTAGCCAGAACTCGCTTTCAACACGGATATCAGAACACATTTTAGCATTATTATACTAACTTCGAGAAGAAAGCGGTTAGGAGATTTACCTTTGAACATCAAGTCGACTCTAATCAATCAACTGACGGACAATGTTGTGTGTAACATTGGTTCAGATCTCTCCTCTACATCTAACGAAACAGCCACCTAGTGATTTCAGGCCCTTAATGGTGGTCTAATTAGGATCAGTTCATAATTTAGATTGCGAAAATCTTACAGTTTCTACAAATCCCTTTATACTAAATCGATAAAAATATATATCAATAGTCGATTTTTTGAAGAGAAAAACTGTCTTCACAATGAAAATCTAAGAAACAAAACAATCATTATAATATATAATTCAGAGTAAATTTTCCACACACACATACAGAGGAAAAATTACCTTATCAATATTATTTTGAAAAAGACAATATTCCGATGTTAATTCAATGGTATCTTCTAATATCCATTCGTATCCACCTAGAAATATCAAGTAAATAAATAACACTGAAAAGGAATTTCTTTATCAAGTTGTTCAGTGAGTATTTATAGACTAAATAGGACAATAGTGGCACGATTATAGGTCAGTCGAAATTGACATAGTTTATATTAACAGAGAGAAATTATGAAAAGTACTTTTCTTCTTCATTGTCCTATTCAATACAAAGATAGTAAGACATGTGATAAGTGTAAATGCTATAACAATGTAAAAAAAAAAAATAATATAATGAGACGATGGAGAAGAATAAATTGTCTGTATTCTTATTTCAGAAGAACTACAATGGACATGAAAAGGATGGATAGCAACTGGAAAGAATTGTCATATGAAGGATAAAATAATTTGCAAAAAACACAAATCCCATCAATAAAATTTATTGACAGTAAACTGGATTAGTTTAATACTATAATTATATCAGAATGAAGTAGTCATTATCTACCAATCAACCTCATATTAAGTCTTAATTAGTAGCACAGAAGGTGAACTTTTAACCTGGTTACTATATATATATTTAAAAGGACTAGTGAAGTTATCCATATTTGAGCTTTAATGTTATGTTGGCCTTAGTATTTTATAAACATTTCACTCTAGGTGATTATCTTCAAAGAAAACAAAACTATAAACGTGGATTTGTCTAGATGAAAACAGATTAGAATGACATTGTACAGTTTTTATAGTTTATAGTTTTTTTAACTAAAGTTTAAGCTAGATAAATAAATAACTAAATAATTGGCATCATTCTACGGTCAAAATGAAGTTTGACTGTTTTGATAAGTATTTCGTTGAAATATTTCGAATTAGTTTGAACATTTGATGATTTTTATTAACAAAAAAACCAAACACACGAAATGAGTAATGTAGAACATTCACAGACCATAAATTCTGTTTAACAATACTAACCACTACCACATTAAAGTTTATAAGCACCAAAGTGTGAATAATATATAGTTTGGATTTGATTATTGTTTAATATAATTTGTCCATAGTTAAGCAAAACTGAAATACTACCTCAATTTCAATATGTCAGGCAATAACAATTGTTTTAGCTTCCTTGATGATTATTAAATTACTTGTGTATTAAAAACACACAGGTTTTATGATTCATTAGAAAAAGCAAATTTCAGTTAAATTTAAGATCTTCAAATGAAACCTTCAGATAAATTTGATGATCAGTTTAAGAGTAGATATATTTCTATGTTAATTCTCACTTGGAATTATTGACAAAAAGTTTATAGATCAGCAAAAACCAATCAATGAGTTAAAATATAAGCAATAAATATGAAACAACAGTTGCATTTTATACCCTGTTCTAACTACATAGTTTTCTCTTATCTAATTTCTTAACAACTTAACATGGTAAGGTAACTTGAAAACAGTTTTCTATAGATATATGATTCGAATTTGAATTTTGTTTTCTTTGTAACACCATCTCATAAGTAACTTTTTTCAAAATGTTAGGTCCTTCATTTTTGAGATACGAAATAGTGTTCATAAACTAAGAGTCTTTCGCTATCTAAACATGTTTCCGATGTATAACTTCGTTTTCATGTGACTTAAAAGTTACCAATTACTCAAATATCTCTATTTTCTTGCTGACATTTGTGTATGTCTACATCTTATCTTCATGTGATTTTGTGCATAATCATTGTTGTAAGCCATAGAAGGATAAATGTAGTATCTATCTACAGGATTCAGAGTTGAGATCAGCTGTTAATGATTTTATATTTTGGGACAGTTTGGATTGCGTGAAATTAGTTCATGAAAACTAACATAAGATGGGGAATCAATGGTTCTTTATTTTACAACATTACAGAACGTAAAACCAATAGAAACGATATATATATATATATTTGACACCTGATAACTGAATGTGACATGTTTCAAACATGACATAATTATCGTAAGCTGACATTTAATTGACGTTAGGATGATAAGTAAGTTTATTCTTACTAATTAATTAACTAACCATTGATGTAGTTAAATAGATAAAATCAAATACAATGAGTAAGTAAACTGATTGTTATTCCATTAGAAATTACAAATTGAGGAGATAACATCACGCAGACAAAAAGAGAGATGCCCCTTGAATCAATACAAAATGTTTGAAAGTTTTATAATTGAGAAAGATGTTCTTTCAGACTGAATTTGGTGATGAAGTATTAAGGCCACATTCAGAGGTGAACACGGCAGTAATTTACATATTGATCGGGAGCTGATGATTCATGGAATAAGGTGAGAGCAAAACTAAGTGTCTATACTTCATAAATTTCGGATTAGACGAGATAATCCTTAAAAATTCAGCCTTCAGTTTTTGCCATTACTTCTTTATTCATCTCTTTATCTCTCCACAAATCTTGCATTTCAACAGAACAATAGTCCAGGCCGAACGATATATATTTGCAACCAATGTTATACATACATATAAAACATACCATTACAGTTAGTTTTTCAATTACAGTTGCATGAAATTAGTAAACTATCATAAAAATGGCAGTTACCTAGATATACATTTCGTCTTAATAAACAACTTTAGTGTTTGGGCTTTGCTAAATATGTACACGTATGGATTTGATACTGAACACTTTCAATTAATACCGATGATTTAAATT